CTTGGCTAATATATTTACCAGCTTCCACTGTTGGCTGACGCGTAGGCTGATGCTTGCGCATTTGCGTATGAACCACCACCACCACCACCATTACCACTTAAAATGTAGAAAATTAAATAGTAATAACTTCAAAATCATAAATTTTAATAAAGAATTAAGTATAAATCTATACTGAATACCATACAAGTATTGATCAATTGCAAAATATTACCGTACAAGGTATTGAAATCGCATAGAAATATTGATTAGTTGTAGAATATTACCCGCAACAGCCGCCATGTCCATGATGACCACCATAACCACCATGACCACCATGTCCATGATGACCACGATGTCCTCCTGTATTCGTGACATAGACTGGTATCAATGCATAACCTGTATAACCTTGTTGCCCTAGACAAAGCGTGCCCCTGTTATGCGCAATTATGATGGAGTTTAGCTATAGCATATGTATATTAATATATAATTAAGATCCGTGATATTTTTTAGACGTTATATTTATTATTGTTATTATAAATTGCAAATTTCAGCTGAAAAAAGGTAAGCGAGCAAAAAATGTTTGTTATTATCAATTAATAATCTTATATTAATTAATTAAAATTAATATTTTTCTTCGATGTAGAGATTATCTAATATTATGATTATTGTTACTATTAATATTATTTATTTAATATTTTATTAGTTAAAAAAATAAGTAATATTTATATATAGCTTCTTCCTTCCTTCAGTTTGCTCGATGCTGCATCCTGAAATTGTCATTAGCGTTTAAGCGTTATTTTCAAACGAGCTCCTTGAAAATACCTATGATACAGGAGTATGTCATTAATAATTTATTTCTCATTTGATAATTTATTTTTTATTTTACATAATGCATGCAAAAATTGAGGAAAATATGCAATAGTTGTCGTATCTAAAGGAATCAAAAGGAAAATCAATTTAATCGAACATGCGTTTCAATTCTGAAAAATATATACCCAGCAAATTGTTCATTTTTACAACAATTAATGCAACATTTTGATGCAAATTCTGCGTAAATATTATTACTGATATATAAAGTAGTTACATAGCCACTTTTCTGTCATTTATTTTTTTCAGCTTACTTTTCCGAAAGTTTTATACCTATTTAATGTTAATTTTTCGTTTAGAAAAAAAAAACAGTTTTAAGTTGGTAAAATGTTTGTAGTATAAAGGTTTCGGGCATACAAAATTCAACACTGAAGTTAATTAATAAGTATTCCCCGACATTCGTCGATTAGTTATACTTCTCCCCTTCGCAGTTATGACTATAGCTTATCTTCGCCACCATCACCAGGATAATGTCCACCACCGCTTGGATACCCACCTCGAATACCTATCTCATCTCCCTCCACCACCATCACCTGGATAAATGTAACTTTCACTCGAATACTCACCATATCCTCCACCATATCCTCCACCACAACCTTTGTAACAGGAGAATCTCTTTTGACGGAATTTCTTCTGTTCACCCTTCAAAGCCGAGCCTATCATACTCTGCGCCTCCGCCTTTTCCAATTTCATCTTAAGCACTTTCATTTTGCTGTTGAGATCGATCTTGTCGACCTTGATACCTTCGTCTTTCAACCCCTCCGCAAATTTGTCGAGATCGACAGGTCGATGATTTTCTGACTCTTCATTTTCATCATCTTCTACTACTAGGATGACAGAAACTAGTGGCTCTGCAAGCACATATTTTTTATTCAAATCCCTTCTAAGAATTCTCTTGGCTCCATTCGCTCTTACTTATCATTTCTTGCAAGATACTCGTTAATTTATAAATAATAAACGTCAAATGAAATTTATGAAAAGATATGCCGATGAGATATGAGACATTATATGTCATTCGTTGATTTGTACTCACCTATTATGTCAGGTAACGTTTCTACGACTTCATTTTGAAACATTTCCTCTGATACATTGCTGCTACTATTTTTCACAGCGAACAAATTAATTATATAGATTGTAGCATAGTGTTCCGTTTCGTCTGAGGACAGCGCGGGCGGTTGCAGCTCGGTCGATAATGCGCGTTCCTCATATATATTTACAGCTGGCTCTAATAATCGCGTAAAACATGGATTGATCATTACGTGAACAGAAATAAAAAAATTGATTGATTGATGTAAATTGGCGTATGAAGAATTTTAAATTGACCATTTCATTTATATGCCAATGCATGCATCCTCACATCATTGTTATTTTTTAAAATAAACGTGATCTTGTCAGCTGCATATGAACAAATCACAAAAGTTCGCTTTAAACTCTCCAAAAAAACATTCAAATTTGTGATAAATGGATAGAAAACTGTTTGCAGTAACAACGCAGACAATAATAAGATTAAATTAAACATTCAAACAGAATATATCAAATACATATGAAATAAGTACTGTTTGTAAGAAAATGATAATTCTGCAAATTTGCATGAAAAAAAACATTAAAATAGTAACGTTATCTAATGGTGAATTCGATTGGAAACATTAGTACGCACTGATGCATATTATAAAGCCGTTGTACACTGATTTAATTTGAATATAAAAGTGAAATGCAAATATTTCGAATTATGAAATACATATTTTACCTAATAGTACAATAAAATGTATTGAGTATTTCAGGATTTAATCGATTTCTATGTTTATGTATAAACATATCTTTACGTTATTTTGTGTAGCTTTAATGTGCACCAGGGCGCACTGAGTGCGTCCAATCGAATTTGTTATAGGTAAGAAAAATTTGCGTTTGTAAATGTTGTAACTTTACAAGTATTGTTTACGTCACTAAAGATTATTATAATTAAAGTTAATGCATTTAAATGTTAAATTCGTTTAATTATTACATATCGAAATGTAAAAACTGTAAAAAATTTCTTTAATTATTCCAAAGAAGTAAAATGTACATTGTATACGAAAAGATTTTTATTAAATATGATTACAACAATACATTATTAAGAATTTCATATACAATGTTCTCTCACCTGGTAAAGCCGGCAATCCGAAGATGACCGTGACAAACGTACACAGGAGCACTAGGCTAAGAGCGCGAACTGCCATGGTGTCGGGATTTGATGTTTCTTAGGATGCACTGCATGCGAATTCTTTAATCTCGCCGCTTTTATAGTCACTTATCCGACACGCATTTGATCCTGATGTAATTATGTAACGTTCCATCTCCACCGCTTTTCTTCGCGCGTTGCACACCGCATCGCGCCGAGCAATCACTGATTTTTGGATTTTCCGAGGGAGTCCCCGGTAGTATGCGCGTGCGCTCTAATACTTTTCTTTGTGACGAAGATGCAGTCATGTGCATCAACAAGAACACTATCAAGAACACTGAATGAAATTCAGAACGCAAAGAAAAACGATGAACTTGATAATTTAATATACACAGCCTGTAATTTCTGTGTGTACGAATAATTATCTTGCGGTTTTTTATCGTTGATCATTCTGATGATAATGTTAAGGAAATTCATCAAACGAAATTCTTTATGTTATATTCATTAGAATAAGAGAGTTCTCCATAAAAATAATATTAATATCAATGGGAACAAAATAACTGGTGTATAACGTACAAAAATTAATAGCGCAGAAATTAATAGCCAATTAGCCATTTTTCATTACTTCTAAGGCGTTGTTAGATCATAAGGAAACGATGAATATAATAGAAACGAATGAGAATCTGGTTGTCAAAGAGCTACTAAATGACTACTTGGAAATTGCATCGACTAGTAATTATCTTTTCTGAACGGTGCTTTATGCAGGACAGATACAAATAGGCATCTTTATTTATTCATTAACTTATCATTAACCTAACCTGGTAATAATCTTTAATTATTCACATTTTTTATTTACTATTATATTTATCACATATATTTTAACATACTTACGCAGCCTTCAAAAATCGTAGCAACGTCATTTCATTACTTTGACTAATAGTAGAATGATTCCCCGACTGAGCTATTATTGCAATTAAAGAGTATCCATAAATTAAACATGAAATGACGTTCGCTAGGATTTCCCGAACTCGAGCACGTATATTTTTTCTTAATTAGTGTTGAAATTGCAACATTCTCTCACGCTACTTAACAGATTTATATTTTGATACAAAAAAAACTATGAGATTTTTAAACATGCAATTCTGCAATCTCCGTTTATTTGTAAATTAATTATGATTTTCCCTTAACATTGCTATTATATGTAATTTGTTGAGTCTTCTTTCATTAAATATCTCTATTGATGTATTAATTTTGAAACGAATGTTATTTTTATCAATTTATATTTCTTATATTAATACTTCTATTTTATTTTAATTTAATAAAAAATGTTGATTATATATTGATTAGCTTCTAGAATTACGATCAAGTCGCATATGCAAACCATCCGGTTAATATTTCTCTGTTTACTTGGATTAATATTTCTTCATTTGCTCGTAAATTAATTAAGCAACTCTTTTAACGCTGTTATTTTGAATCGTCTTTGGTTAAAAACTTATAATGTGTTATAATTTTGAAACAACTATTATTTTTATCAATTTATATTTCTTATTTTAATGTTTCTATTTCATTTTAATTTGATACAAACTATTGCTTTTATAGTAATTAGCGTTTAGAATTACGATCAAGTCGCATGTGCAAACTGTCCAGTTAATATTTCCTGTTTGCTTCGTTGCGGTTAAAGTCGTTGCAATCACGTTATTGCGTGTCAATTTTGCTTGTGTGTAAATTTTCGCATATATTCTATTCTATCATCGATCACGAATGTATTAAAACTTGCTTATAAAAACATCGATACGAGTTTCTTAAGTGCATGATGTAACATCGTATTTTTTTTTGAGATTTAACGACAAAAAATTTATTCAATATGTACTTTTATGATCAATAATTGTGCTTTGAAAGATCTCGCGTTTTGTAATTTACATTTGTGATAAGATGGAATTAGAAATAGTAACGATAACAAGTTATGTACGATTATCGTAGTAAACGACGTAATATTAATTTTTAATGCTACAAGACAAATATTTAAAATATTTAACAAAGCTGTTTATTAATTGATAATATTATACTATAACAAAAATAATCACACATTATTACTCGTTTCTTTCTGTGCCGTAAAATATACAATATTAATATTTTTATTGTCGCTGCTTATTTTTGCATCGCAGCTTTCGTACGCGTCATATGAATGTTGCAACATATTAATTAAAATATATCTTTTAACACAACACTTTCTACTGACGTCATTAATAATTCATCTATAAGCAGAAATAATTAGATTTTCTGAGAAAATGTGATAGCGCTTGCAGATTTGGTTTTCTGGGATGATTCGTAATAGTACTTGCGGATATTGTTACTAAGAAGGATCTAGTATCGTATACGATTATTCGAATTGTGCATAACTAAAACCGCATGAATCTCCAACAACACAAATCATCTTCCTGTTGACTATAAAAGAATGCGAAGTTCGTTTAGCCTTGGCTGAGATAGAGATAAATCGGATTTAGAAGTTATAATCGTTTTGATGATGGAGAGTCGTGACGAAATCCTTTTGAAGGAAGATGCCGATTCGAAGAAGGACCTACTTATTAACGGGCCATGCATTTCGTAATAATCTACTAATGCGATATTCTACATTTTCAGTGTATAAAGGAAGAATGAAGCTAATATATATATTATCACTGCAAATAATTTATAGCTACAATTTACGTACCGTAGATCATTATACGTACCGCGAGTATGCAAATCTGTATAATTATAGTATAAATATACAGTATAGAAAAAATACACAATACAAGATTATTTTGAAAATATTAAGAAATAGTGTGTATGCGCTCGTTTATACATTTTTCTCACAAATTTCTTTTGAACCAATATCGACCGACTATGCATACTGATTTAATGAGCATACAAAAGAATCATAAAAACTAGATGATTCATAGATAATAAACTTGTTACTATAATTGTTTTAATGTACATTTTTAATGTACATACTTTTATAAAAATTCTTATCTGAAATACTTGGTACAATAGAATGTTGGTGTTAATACACAGTGAGAATATAGACACCACTATTTTTTTAGAGTGTAAAGAATAAAGTGTTTTTTAAACCATGTTTTTAAAAATTAAATTTTTTATTTTATTTTATATAAAATAAATAAACGATAATACCATATATATAAATATATGTGCATAATTGTTGAGCACATGTGGACAATTATTGTACAAAAAATTAATTACATACTACAACATCACGGGAATTTTCTTTACTATTTAACAAATTAGTCATTCGCCTCGGTCATTTATTGATAACATCATATGAATTCTTGTGAAAAAAAGAGATGCTAATTATCGTTGTTATATTACTTATATCTGACATTATGCCACAATTATTACTAGTATGTTATTATCAAATAAAAATTGATAGCTTTAACCTTATGCTCCGACAAATGTCAAGTTTGCTTTTCATTAATTGTAGAGTATAAATAATCGAATCTCTCGCGAATAATGCCCGACCGGTTTCACCATAATTATTTTTGTCATAACTTTTTGTGAGTCAAACTGAGACGAGTCAGTGTTGAGACCTTGAATCACATCGGCGGTATTCCAAGCTTCTCATAAATATCGTAAATTTAATAC